GATCTTCCCGCCTCAGCCTCCCAAGTAACTGAAACTACAGGCATGCACCACCATCCCTGGCTAAATCATGGAGCTTTTCATGACTAGAGTTTAATTCTACCACCTAACTAGAAGTGATTGCCTTTTCTTTAAAAACCAAAGTTAATGTTTCTTTTGGAATAGAGAGGCTTTCCAAACACACAGACCCCTTTGTCCTCTCTGCTGTCCCTCCTAGTGTTAGAATTAAAGGGGCAGAGGAGCCCAGTCCTCTAAGATGGACAGAGGGTGAAGTCATGAAAGCTGTGAGTTAGATTCTTTTAAGAATAGCTGGGCCGGCTCGGTGCCTGTGGCTCAAGCCGCTAAGGGGCCAGCCACATACACCTAAGGTGGTGGGTTCGGATCCCCAGCCCAGGCCCACCAAACAACAATGATGGCTGCAACCAAAAAGATGGCTGGGCGTTGTGGCGGGCGCCTGTGGTCCCAGCTACTTGGGAGGCTGAGGCAGGAGACTCGCTTGAGCCCAGGAGTTGGAGGTTGCTGTGAGTGTGATGCCATGGCACTCTACCCAGGAGATAGCTTGAGGTTCCGTCTAAAGAAAAAAAAAAAAGAATAGCTGGGCCTCAGTCCAGTTCCCTACCACCACTATCCCAGTGTGTTCACACACAGTCTCTGCTCAGCACCTCTAGGCCAGCTTGTCAGGCAAGGTCCTCTCCCTAGAGAGAAACAGTTCCGCAGTGATATCTGAACACATTCCAACAGTACATGTTTATCTCTAGGGTCAGCCTTTCCTGCCAATGCTCAGGAGGCATGGGAGGAGGGAGGAAGGGGATTGGGATAATGGCTGTTGGCAGCCACAAGGGGCAAAGAATGAAAGCAGTGGGGGATATGGACCCCGCCCTTGGGAGTGTGGTATTGTGATGAGGTTTCCAGACTGTGTGTGGCCACGTATTTCTTTTCTCACATCAGGACGAGCTTCCTAGATCGTCTGGTGTCAATGGAGATGAGAAGTTGGACACTGCCTCATGCAGGGGTGGTGAATCTTCCAGAGCTGGCTAGGGCCTGGTAGGTTGGTGGGTGGCAACCTCCGGGGGGGCCATAGGATCTGGAGCCAAGAGAATGGAAGTGTTTCCATTGTTTAGTGTAGGATCTGAGCTCTGTTGGGACACAACTGGTTCTACTTCTTCCTTAAAGCTTATCCATGGGTGCCAGCATCTTTCAGCTCTGGCAGTGGGACAAAAAGGGCTACCTACCTCCACCCCCAACTAGGCTAAGCAGTTAAGTCCCAAGAGTTTGACACCCTTGGACACAGTTTCCAGGAGCCATACCCTCTCCCTCAGGAAAAGTGCCCATCACACATTCACCCCCACCATCCAGGGCCAATGCCATGGTAACTTCCGAGGACTATATCCCCACTCTGAACAGTTTTAAGGAAGTATGTTCACAATCAATCTCAAGACTTTGATTTCTTTATTATTTACTTCCAAATGAGATAATCTCATCCTCCCTCCAGGCTGAGTTTGGTTGGTGGAAGGCGGCTGAGCCATCTGATTCCTTTTTGGCAAAAATGAATCATATACCCCAATCCCCATGCTCATACCAGGAAATTTATCTATGTTTATATAACCATGGCAACAGGCTTTATTCCATGTCACTTAAACTCTTTAAAAAAAAAAAAAAAAAGAAAGAAAGAATAAGAAAAAGCAGAAGATAGCTCTTCCCCACCTCTGCCTCCTGTTCTTCCCAGATGAGCTCTACCTATTCAGAAACGATGTGAGAGACCCCACACACACACACTCCTGGCCTCCTTGGGGCAAGGGAATAAGTAAGCTGTCATGCCAGGCATATGAAAGAACTTCAGAGTTAGACAGCAACTGTCTTCCAATGTCCTATGGGAACTACACAGTAATAGCACCTCTAACGTGTCTGGACCCTCTCTTTCATGCTTTGCACTGAGATTATGGTTATCAGTTTGTTATCTTGCCATATCCTTTACCTTAATAAGGAATGACATTTGAGTGGCCTTGCTAATATATTCTTCATCTCTAAAATGGAGTAAACATTCCTCTGGTCCTGACTTCTTCGCAGATCATTGTCAGAGTTTTGTAAGGAACATAAAGTGTTAGACTCAGATCAGTTTAAACCACAAGCAAGGGGAACAGGTGCAATAAACAGAAAGCATTGGTGAGGTCATACTTTGTTGCCAACAGTATAGTAAAACCTAGCTTCTTGCCAAGACCATAGATAGCCTCCTAATTTTCTTTTTTCTTTCTTTCTTTTCTTTTCTTTTCTTTTTTCTTTTCTTTCTTTCTTTTTCTTTCTTTTTTTTTTTTTTTTGCAGTTTTTGGCTGGGACTGGTTTTGAACCTACCACTGGTTTGAACCCACCACCTCTGGCATATAGGGCCTGTGCCCTACTCCTTGAGCCTGAGGCACCGCCCAGCCTCCTAACTTTTTTTTTTCTTTTAGATGGAGCCTCAAGCTATCTCCTGGGTAGAGTACCATGGCATCACAGCTCACAGCAACCTCCAACTCCT